CTAGCAAGGAGATCGGGCTGAAACTATAGCTACAAGCTATCCAAGGATGGTACTATAGAATGTCACCTCAAGGTAGGCCTAGTGGCGTCATCTCTTGGTTAGGCCGGAAACTTATCAATCCACCCTCGTAGGTTTAACGTGTATGATTTCTATGTTTTTAAACTTTGTACCGATATCATGATACGTCAGAGCCTATTCCAAGGGGAGCAGTAGCCCTTCTTGCCCTTATTAATCTCTACGGCAATGGGGTTCTACAAAAAATGGCGGCCATATTCAAATATCTTTTGATTCTGTTCAAGTGACTTAATTAAATAGATAAAAGAATCGAGGAACAAGGGAATGCAAATTCACAACCACTTAGTTTTGAAGAAAAATTCACCCTACTTAAGCTACATTTAATTGATATGAAAAAAATTTTAACTTAAAATTTCCGAGGTCAATATAAGATCAACAGGAGCGGCCTTCGGGGTGGCGAGCAGGCCAACCGCCCGGGGCCTCGCTATTGCAGAGGCCTCGCGCCTTCTTGCAGCAATCTAACTTTATTACGTAGTAATAGTACTTACTAATGCTTATTTGAATTTCTTAATAGTCTTAAAAAAGCCGCACATTTGCTGTCTTTTATTTAATTTTTCCAATTATTTATGAATAACTTTGAATTTGTCGTCAAGTATTATCATTAAAAGTAATTCCACGAAGACGAGGGCCTCGCAAAAGTTTACCCGCCCAGAACTTCTCGATGGCTAAGGCCGTCCCTGAAGATTAAAAAACAATTTCAATATCCCCGCGATTCCTTGCATGGGCTATTAATTTGACATTCTAAACAACTTTTCCCCATGATTATTTCACAAGGATGCCTTTTAAACAAAACTTTATTTTTTTTCTATTCTTGAACAGTCTGTACAGTTAAATTTGGATAATACAGACGATCTTGCATTAAAGAAGGAAACAAGTTCTGCTTGGAAAATTTTTAGATTAAATTTACAGTTTAGCAAAATGATCATATTGTAAACTTTCAAAAGAAAACATTCATAATATCACCGCGATTTTTGGATAGCCCTACATCTTGGCATTCTGATCATTTTTTTCCTACAACTTTTTTCGATTGGACCCATATTTCACAGGACTGTCATTAAACGAAACCGTTATTCTATTTTTGAACAGTCTGTCTGGTAAATCAAATTTGGATAATACAGATTGTACAGTTAAGTTTTGTTTTTCGATTAAATTTACTGTTTGGTCGTATTGAGCATATTGCGCACTTTTTGCGCTATCCTGTGTACATATACCATTTTAGCATCAGTTAAGTCTGTTCCGGTTCATCAATAACATGTACAGTGTATAAAACTTTTACTATTTAGAAATTTTAGACTGTTCCTGCTGTGCCTTTGAGCCATTGATAGACAGGCAGTTCCTTTAAATTTATGACGTATAGCTTTATGACAGTTGTCCCTCGATATTCGGGGCACACTGTAACGAATCTGATTAGTTTAGGATTGTAATTTTTGTATATAGCTCCAGAACCGACCTTTTTCCTTTACTTAGAATTTCACAACGCCTACCACTTTCCAATTCCTAGTTTCAACCAATAGTAGTCACCACCCCACTTACCCCTTGTATATAGATTAGCTTTAAATACTTAGACATGTACTATATAGAGACATTATTGATAATTCAGTTATACCAGTAAAATATTGATTCTTTAGTTATACCAGACATTATTGATAATTCAGTTATACCAGTAAAATATTGATTCTTTAGTTATACCAGACAATACTGATTATTCAGTAAAACCAGTAAATATTAATTCATCCTTTAAACCAGTAAAAATAGATTCATCTTTATACCAGTTAATTCAGATTAAGAACCAAACATAACCAATAAACCGATAATCAAGTTTGTGTTCTTATTATTTTCATCTAACTAACTACGCAAATTTAATTAGGCGCGTAGTCCGCCTAATTCAAACGGGACATTACAAAGTCCTTCCTTGTATTGACTACGGCGAAGAGATTTTTGAACCAGGGTTTTCCGGCAACTTGCCCCCCCCCCCCCGAAGTGTTCATCTGAATTTGGGTTTTACATCGAGATATCACTCCCCCGGTGGCATTGAAATTGATTATAACTAACACACTCGCTTAATTATTAATTAACATAAACATAAGTAGGCAATAAATGTGCCGCTTTCATTTAATTTTTAAAGTAAATAAAAACATCATCATAAAGTCGTCAGTCCTAAGACTGGTTGGACACCTACCTACCTCCACTCTTTCCTATCCTAAGCTAATATTCGCATTTCCCCAAAACTAGAACAACCCACATCCTCAGCTATTTGCAAACAGTAATCTAATTTAGGTCTACCTTTACTTCTCTTAACTCCTCTCTCTAATATGTCTCTGACTAGACCTTCATGTCTAAGAAGGTGTCCAACCAACCTATCTCGTTTATTTTTTATTGACTTCCTTGGAGTCCTCTGTTCTGTTTTTTCTAATATCTCTTCATTTCTAACCTTCTCTATCCACTTTATCCTCATCACATTTCAAACGTTTCCAACCTTTTCTTTTCCGCCGCGCACACCGGCCATGTTTCACACCCGTACAGCGCCGCGCTCCAAACATACATCTTCAACAAACTTTTTTGAATTTCTAAATTAACCGTTCGCAAGCATAGAAGTGACTTCGTTTTACTGAAGGCGACACGAACCTACGCTATCCTCTGCTTTATATTTCGAGAAATTTTTACATTAAAGTAACCAGATGTATAACATAGATTTTTCCAAATGTCGCTATCTTTTTATTACATAGGTCCTTTTTAAATCATTACATCTCAATTATTAAGTATTGTTGTTATTTTACCTACACAAGTACGTAATATTGTAAGTACACAGAGACTTAACTCATAAAAAACTTCTTCACTAACAGCACTTTTCCACACTTTTCAACCACGACTCCATCAAAACATTAAATAATAGCATGCCCTTAATAACCGTTACTGAAGTCAGCTTAAGTTGTTTACTCTCAAGATGACGTAGCAACAGTTGCGTTAAATCCTACCTTGTTAGCTTTATTGTATCACGGTTCTCCGAAGAGTTACATTTACGGACACATACAGGGTGTTTTTAATGTTAGATAATGTAAATATTTTCATTTCTTATTCTATTTGAAAGAAAGTAGGAATAAATGCATTTCTTATCGTTACCTTTATCACATGCCAGCGCTAACGTTAAGCAATCGTGTTGGTCCAATAAAATTGCTGTTGCATCTAATTAATACGGTGATCATCTCCTAAAGTGGTTTATTGGTAACAGTTGAAAGGATAAATTTGTTTGTTTTTACACAATGTTACCAACAGCAAAAAGTGAAGTGGTTATAAGTAATAAAAACTGAAAACAAAATTACTGTTATTTTCAATGTCAACGTAGGAAAGAATTAGTGATTTTTGGATGGATACATACGTAAAAATTAAGTGTTGAATAGCAAAAAAGAACTGTGAGAAAAGATGTTGAAAGTTCATTCAAATTAATTTCTGAAAAAAATTAATTATAAGTAAGAAACTGTTAGTATATTAATAACCAGAATAAATTTTTAAAACTTTTTGTTTTGGACGTGTTATTATTTGAACGGGAGTTGGTGTTTTCAAATTCGTTATTAGAAGGTAAGAAAATATGGACGGGAATTATGTGTCAATAACGGACTATATACCTACATACTTGATTTGGACAGGAGTTAAGGTGCATCGTTCTAACATACCTATACGATATACTTATAAATATACAGTAGATTTCGGGTATAACGACGACGAAGGAACACTGCATTTTCGTCATTATATCCGGAAGTCGTTACAGGTAAAGGTAAAGAGATACAGACACGTACAAATCTGCATCTAGGGGTCATACTCTCACACTTATTCAAAAGTTTACTAAACACAGTTGCTACTCAGAATATCCCCTTGTAACTGAACCATTGTAACGTACACTCTTACCTACCTACCTACCTACCTACCTACCTGGCTAACGTCTATGAACAAACGGCAAAGGTCACTACACTTGCTGACCATCTGTGTGGATGCAAACAAATGATAAGAATGATCTTTGTGTCTTGCCAGCTGATTCCGGTCGCTATATCGGCATGGGATTATTAGGGATTTGTTACAAATGATTCATTAAAAACAGTCGCTACACCCGAACTCGGCGTTACATCCGAAGTTACTTTAGTCACATCAATTTGTACTAAAGTATGATTTAAATTCAAGGGACTTTGACGTCGTTATAGCAAAATGGTCGCTATAACCAAGGTCGTTATAAATGAAATCCACTGTAATTGACTTTTAAAAATAACTTCAATTTTTCACTTGATAACTATTAATACTTCTTTTTAATTATCAATAGGTGTTGGTGTTGTGTATGCTTACCGTATTGTATGGATTCATGTCGAAATCAAAATCACTATTGTCCCAACTGCGAGGCTTTCTTGGGAACATACACCAACTAACGATCGTTTTAAATAAGAAGTATGGTACCTTTGTTACCTGCGATTAGTATAATAGTTTATATTTTTTTTAAGATGTTTATCATGGCTGGTTTTTCATAAAAGTATTTTAATAATTGCGTTTGTATTAAATATGTTATTGTACATTTCAAAGCAAAGATTTTGTTCTATAGTACATATAATTTTTTACCATACTCACCCCTATCGAAAGTAAGATAGATTCAATAAAAAAGGGCTACTCTCTTAAATATTTTCAGTGAATAGTAACTGAAAATCAGTAACTATTCAAATGGCAACAGTGCCAAGTGCGTAAGTGAAATTCAGTTACGTTCACTGAAAAAATCGGTTGCATATAGTGACGAGGATATGGAATTTCACTTATGTCATCAGTAATTATTTACTTATGTTACCAGTAATTTATCGATAAGGATAACGGCTAAATAATTAGTAATTAATTTTTCAATATAATTTAACGAACTTACAAAATATACGTACAACATCAGTAAAAAAATAGTTAAGATAGTTAATATGAATAAAAGAGTAGTTCAAAATAATATATTTTTAAAAAAGTATTTTTATTATCTTAAGTGGTCATCTTCAATATGTGAAATATTAATTTGCACTGACGATACTACACTGCCTGGCTTAACTTCCATTTTATATGACGATGCATTACGCACTATTTTCAAAATTTGGTAATTAAAACGAAAGCTTTATAAGGAAAAAATTTCAATATCGTTGCTAAAAATGGGTTGGGAAATTGTGCCTTACGAAATGTTTTATTCATTTCCTTCAACGGCCTGGTATACAAAAAACTCAAAATTTATTTCTTAAGGGGCTTCAGTAGCACAACGAAAGTTTTTAAAGAAGAAAAAGGCGGAGATATGGTCGGAATTATTCGTAATTAATCGCTCTATATTGCTATTTTGTTCTATTAATTATTTAATAACTTACTCTTCAACTGTGAAATTAATGTACGTTTGTGACATTTTTGTGTTATAACCTTAAAAAAGAGTAATTCATTAACTACTTACAAGTTCAGTGTTTGTATAGTTTTATATAATCATTTTAACATACAAATAAACAGATATTAGATTATTTTACTAAACTATATGAAATTAAATGTAAAACAAATAACTTTATACTTACTTGCTCAAGAATAAAAACAATACCCACACAACTGCTCCATAAATCATAATAGACAGTAGCACTACCGGTGGCGTAAAAAATTATCAAATTTTACTGAGAAAATCTATTAAATAACAAAATTACTGGCTCTTCAGTAATTTCCCTATTTAACTGAAAAAAGAAAAAACAGTAATCATTCACTGACAATATTAAAGAGAGTAACATTCCTACCGGGTAAGAAAACTAGAATGTGCCATTAATAATATTGATATATATTTTTTCTACCATTTTTCTTTCTTCATTAAAATAGATTGTTAAATAATGTGAAGCAACTTGCTACAATTCTTTTCGTTTGTTAGTGACTGACTTAGTGTGTTACATTGGAACTGTTTCTGTTGTTAGTACTCGCCAGTCACGCCACTGTTGATTAATAATAACTCGCACGAATTTTTTCTATGCAAAACAAATTCACAAGTCACGTGCATTGGATTTATATTAATTTACAATATGGCGAACAAGACTTTAAACTATATCAATATTACAGCAAAATAGATCTTTTAGTTACCTGTAGTCCAGACAAGTTGGACCTTTGAGTGATACATTTGGAATAGACCTGATCTTTGCATGTAAATTAGTAACAAATTACATACATCATTAATAAATTTGTGCGTACGCTCAGAAATGTAAGGAAGTTTGTTTATAATTAATTTAAGGTCGTTTTTTCTGTTTTTTTTTTCTATAACATTTTTCGACTAAATCATTAAAAAAAATATATAGAATAAAGAAGAGAACGTTACTTAGAATCACTTTTTCCGTAAGGGTAAGGAGGTTCGATTTTTCAGTTATAAATTTTCTTCAATAAATGAGGATTTATCGAGAAAAAGCGATTTCTTTTGATAATCTCACATATAGGAAGTATACTTCTATCATATCCCATCATTAAAATTATATTTATATTTTAAAGTTATTTTTGACTATTTGTTTGTCAATTCGATTTTTAGGGAATACTTTTACTGGTCCCAAATTAAAGGTTTTTTATTACATTTTATAATTTTTTTATAAAATTGTTAAAAATTAAAAAACCTTTTAGGGCCTATTATAATACACTTCCTACATATTCGTAACGGATCAATAAATGTTTGGTAGCATTAGGAAGTTAATTTTTTTTTTTATTAACAAATTAATTGTTGCTTACCTATTTATTCGATCAGGATAAAGTTTTAGCAAGATTAATAGCTATAAAAAAGGCTTCTTTTCTCAAAATTTCAATACAATAGTAACCTCATTTCTATATTAAAAGTGGACACCAACGAAGTCGTTTTTTCTCGATAAATCATCACTTATTGCAGAAAATTTATCACTGAAAAATCGGACCCCCTTAACCATATCTAAGAAGATATTTTAAGCAACATTATCATTTAAGTTTTTCTATTAAATATTTAGAAAAAAGTAGGTAGTCGGAGAAAAACGAGAAAAACATCGAAAATACGAACAACCTAAATTGTTTATAAACAAAGCTCTTTACATTTTTGTGCCGGCGCGCAAATTTATTAATGATGTATGTAATTTTTACTAATTTACTTGCAAAAATCAGATCTATTCTAAACTATCAAAAACAAATGGTAATTTTTCAGCTAATTCGCCTGAACTGCTACTATAAAAAATGGTTAAAGGACTATGCAGTCTGCTATGTTGAATTTGCTTCCTTATAAGTTTTTATACATACATAATATATAGCAATATGTAATTTTCATTTTAATTTTTTGTTATTTTATGTTATTATATAGGCAGGTACTTAGCATTTTAATCTTTGATTTATAAAAATATAAAAAATAGTATTTGTTGCTTATGATTAAACATTTATACATATAAAAATTATTGTAGGTTCATTTTCTAAATACCATATGCCAATAGTAAAAACATTACTAATACCCTATTGTTGAAAACGAAACCTAAGGGGCAGTTGTGTAAAACAGCATAAGCAGTACAATACCTAGTGTTTTAGGTTCAATAATTTTTTTAAAAAATGACTAGATTCTGGCATCTGTTACAGTTGTAGATAAATGGACTTCTTTTGCCGTTACCATTATTATTAAAAATACAGTCGTATAAGAAAAAAATGATCATAACATTTTGACTTGCAAAACAGTAGTTTTAATGTTTAATAAAAATGGCCGTAAATAATATATGCAGATTGTTCCAGTTAAAATAACGAAGTTTATGTTATTTTCCGGTATAACCGGAAGTCCTACATAGATGCCGTTATTTCGGTTGAAGAGAGAATACCCATTAACGCTATTGTCCAAATTTTGAAATTTAAATCGAAGTAGTTTCCGAAATGTTCTAATGAGTAGACACTGCTTTATCTCATTATGAAAATAATACCAATGGTTCTACATCAATCAAAAGGAAATTGGTTAACCATTTTCCACAAATAATAAAAAAAATTAAATGAGGGTTGTAGACTAAGGTTGTCAAAAAAAAAGCGAAAACTATTTTCGCCGCCCTTCCTATTTTCACAATTACATAAATTTTATTTAAATTGTACCTACACAAAAACTTACATTTTTATTTTAGTCTTTGAAGAGATGAGAGGCTATTCAAGTATTACATAAGCACCAAAGGAGGATGGGGGTCTTTATTCTTTTTTTTGCAGTTTTAGCTCTTTTATAGTCGTCATCGGAAACGGGGAGGGAAGTTTAGTAACATCATCCACGTAGCAATAAGGGAAGACTCCTTTCCGTAACACAAGTTGAAAATAATGAGGATCTGGAAAGTGCTTTTTCACTTACAAGCATTGATGAGGATCAAATTCTTCCGACAGCTTGTCGAGGGAGGAAACCATGAAACGAAAGGAATCGAGAAATCTAATATTCACGAACACATTTTGAATTGACTCGTCTGTATCAGTTTGAACACTATCAACTCGTAATAATTTGGAAAACGATATGTGTTTTTCTTTATTTTGAGCTATTACGTTAAATTTAACACCGTTCACAGTCATTTCCTTTAGAAACAAGTGACATTCATATTCGGATAGTTTGTCGAAAAAGACAGCTACATAGCTAGGTAGTTTGTAATTTAAATCACATCTGGAATGAGCGGCCCCTAATCGAACTTTACCGGTCAAATGAAAATGACAATGATCATGCACGTCATCGTCCAGAAAGGGTACTTCGCAAATATTGCAAGAGATAGCGTCGGAGAAGAGACGTATTTCTTCATCTGTCAGGAGTATCATGGGAGAAGCGATCTTAAAATATCAGAGATAAATATCATAAACGTCTCGATCGAGAGTTGTAACAAATTGATTGGCACAATTGGGTCCCTGATGTGATCTGAATTTGGAGAAGGAATCATTGAAGGAACACTTTATCAATTAAGCAAGGGAATGGGGTTGATGTGTGTGGGTGAATGTCTTGTTAGGGTCGTGAAAGCATGTATGAATAGGTCGCAAAGTCTGCGTACACAACAAATGGTACTTTGATATGTTTCTGGTAATTTTCAAATTTAAAAATGTGATTGGGGACGAACCTACCCATCTTATCCATCTTAAAATCACCGGTGGGAAGGTTGGTGTAGACATGATTGCAGTCATGCTGCTGATGACGATGTAGGTGGGCTAAAGTGGAGAAATATTGTAGGCAATCGTCGCATAAGAATTTGCGATGTCCAGTTTTAGAAAGTTGTTGAGAAAGTAAACGGGACATGTCCTTTATCCAACAGTAATGATTATTTCCTAGATCATCGTCGAGCAAGAAGAGCAGATTGAAGTGTCTGTCGCTTGATGGGTGAGTAGTTAAGGGGGCCAACGATTTCCTATATCCACTTTCCATCTTCCAAAACGGATTCAGTCTCGTAGACATTCACAGAGCAATGGTTCTTCGATTCAAATTTTGGCATGTCAGTTAATTTCATAGGAAATTGGATACCATCGTAGTCCAAAGTGCGAGAGTAATGCAGATAGGAAGTAGTTCTTTGCGGGTTCGCTTGTGCGAGATGCAAAGCTGACGTAATTGACCATCGTTTCGCATATTCATAACCGCTTTCTTCAGTAAAATTTGTTTCAGTGAGGGAATATAGGAAGACGCTCTCAGCAGATTGTACTTGTTAAAGTTGATTTTAAGGAAAAGAACCCTTTCTAAAATCCATCCTATAGAAATGGGAAAATGTTAACCGTTGTTAAGTGAAAAGAAACATATAGTAAAATGATCAGTTACCTGACTCTCTTTCTTGAAACTCTGACGCTTTAGCCTCAAATATCTCAAAGAAATTTAATAGAAGATTGGGAAGATCGATCGAGCGAGTCACAACTTTGTTGTTTGTGTTGAAGGATTTAATTTCAAGCAAAAGTTTGGTTTCGTGCACGTAAAGTTCAAAAACTTCGAGATTTATTTTAAGCGTGTCGTGGAGGTGGATCTGATTACGTACAACACGCAAGCATTTGTGGAGAATATCAGTGAAAAAGTCGTTATATGATAAAAGGTATTTCGCGGACGTAATACGAAACGGAGGAAACTGATTCCCTCTTCAGGAGGTGAGCAACAATTTTGCTTGTGCTATAGGGTGCGCAGATGACCGTTGTACGAAGATTCAGGAACATAAATTTTGTAGGTTTTACTCTAGCGGCCGGAAGAGCTTTTTGATGTCTTTTTAAATTATCAGATCGCGTAAAAAATGTATCGCAGTCCGGTCAACGAATGATATCGGCTAGATGTAATAAAGGTGTCTGAAGAATAATAGAGGATGACCGTGTGCGAAGCAGATTTAACAACGTAAGAAAATGTAAAGGAGTGGGAGAATATGAAAAAAGTGAGGGTATTGAGAGGGGCAGGGAGCAGAAGATATTTAAAAGAGAAGTATAGAGGAAGCGAATTAAGTGAAATGGGACAGTGTGATGGGGCTGACGTGTCACTGATAAGCTTGGACGAGTCGGAGCAGTCAGCAACGTTAGAGGAGTTTTTCCACAACGTTCAGTTGGCGAGCAAGACACTCAGGGGCGCAACAACGTTACAATTTGACTGGTATCATTTCGACGAGCTTGAATTATTTGAACCGAACTTTCAAGTTGTGTTATTACCTGAATCGACTACTGGAATTGACTGGGTGCCCAACCCAATCGAGTGGGTGCTCGGGCACCCGCGGACCCCCCTTGTTGCGCCCCTGAAGACAGCAACGGTCGGTGGAGGAAACTTATGCCACAATATAAACTATATATTAGGTTTATACTGTGCTTATGCGTAGGAGATGTAGCCACGGAAACGATAGCAGTGCCTGTGGCTAGTACATCGCGAACGCCGGCAAGGGGCAGTAAATCCGTAAGTGTGAAGTCTAAGAAGCAGACGTACAATAGAAGAGTGTCGGGCGGTCCGTTGGATTATTTAAAGCTTATGGACCAGGTGCGAGAAGCAGTGAAGACACTTCAACGGAAGAAGCGAGAATAGGAAGGTGAAATAAAGGACCATGACATGAAGGACGCTTCACTATTGGAACAAATAAAGCGGAGAGAGAAAGAGTTGGAGGACCTGAGGAAAAGTCGTGAAAATAGCAGTAGGTCGGTGGTGGAAGGTAGAAAGCGAGTGGAAGAGGTGGAGCAGAAGTTAAACGAATTGCAAACAAAATTAATAGTGTAAATGTAGTAATATAAAATAAAGATTGTATTATAAGATATTTTATCTAATAATTCCAGTTTTAAGAAAATTCTGTTGTATAAAACAAATGCAATAAAATGTTATATGTAATGACATTCCGCAATCTGAGGACAATTTAACACGAAATACATGTTCGTAAATTTGAAGCTTCAGTTTGTTAGGATCCGGGACTGTTGGCATATAGATTGGCCTCTGATTCAGTCATATTGGATGTATGGGTGTAGTGTTGCGGTGAACTGTTGTAAAATCGGTTATATATGTACGACTTCAACCTGTCTTGTGCGTAACTGTGCCAGGGCCCAACATCAGAAGTGTAGTGATTAAAAAAATATTTTTGCTTCAATAATGGAAGTGGTATAATATTTTAATTTTAAATTGGTATCACGGGAATAACAACATATTTTAAACAGTAGAACTACAAATGCTTGATGTGTAAAGTACCATAGATCATATTAAATTTTACAGGCAGATATTCGAGAACTTACTATTGCAAGGGGAATATCTGTTAAATTGATAAGACGTGTTGTTTAATTCTGGGGTGGAAGGTAGAATAATAGAAGTCTTGCAGCGCAGTCGACTTATTAGATATATATTTACATATATTTACAGAGATCTCCAAACTAATTATTAATTATGACTGTACAAGTGCTTGTGCTAGTTCAAGTGCTTCTTTTGAAGTCCTTGGTCACTGCATATATCTAGAACTTAAAAAGTAGGAATAAATGCCAAGGCTGATGTGGCGAATGTCACCATTGGTGATTAACCCTTTATAACATCTCCGTAGATACAAAACGGGGCTTTCAAAACTCAAAATATTGCAAGAGAGGGATGTTTATAATCATAATCATCCTCGAAGGGTCAACGGTCAAATAAACACAACGCCGCCTTTTATGTTCGCAATATACATACTGGAACTTTATGACCTGCATCAAAACGAACGGTCTTGACTCTACTGGATTGTACCGCTCACCTGACGGAAGTAGACCTCAATCTCCAGGAAGGAAGCGCACCGTAAAAAGTGATGTAGTAATACATTTGAAACAGTTGCAGAGAGAAGCTGATGTGTTACAGAAAAGAAGTCTTCTGCTGAAGGATTTTTTTTTAAGATTATTCTCGAGGAGGGGAAATCTTCAAAAACAACCCCTGAATTTTACCGACTAAAACCCTCCTCGAGTGGGGAGATAAACCCTGAGGGTTACTCATGTCCGAGAAGAGAATGGAAGGTTGGGATTTGGGAGAGAGTTGAGAAGGGAAAATGATTAAGCGTGGGGGGATTCGAGGGGGGGGGGATAATCGTCGGAATAGGTAGTCCACCTCGGGAGTGATGGGTGGACACTCGCGGTAAAAACCGAAGCTAGGGGTAATCGAGAGGGAGTGGCTCATTGTAGAAGGTGACAGGGCCTTCGGAAACGGTTGTTTGTCTTCGGGCCGAAGTTGGAGAGTGTCAAAATGGTGGGGTTTGCGTGGCCTGACACTGAGGCCCGGAGATTTGCTGCGAATGAGTTTGCAGCCTCAGGTAGAGAAGGTAAATCGGTTTCTTTCAGAATTTGGGTGTTTCTGACGAACTAGGGATAGTTTAGTGCAGAACGAAGGATCCGCATGTAGGTGCCTTGAAGAGGTTTCATGCGGTGAGGAAGGGCGCAGCTCCAGACGAGGATGGCGTAGGAGCAAATGCTCCTGATTATTGCGTTAAACGCACGGATTTTCGTATGTTGGGCGATGGAGTCGTTTCGGAAGAAAGGCTTAAGTGAGATGAATGCACCCAGTGCCTTGTTACGGGTAGTTGCGATGTGGAGCTGCCAGTTTACAGTCCTAGGTGGGTGACAGAATTGCTCCACTTGATGGGACGGTTGGAAAGATGGAGAGAGGTTTTCGGGACCTACGAGAGAAGAAAATTGCTTCCGATTTGGTCTCGTTAATGGAAAGTTTCCATTTTCGGTACCAGTTAGAACCATGGGCAGAAACTTATTAATTCTCCCTATGCATTGAAGAATGGTTTGGGCGGAGTTTATGAGGGCAATGTCGTCAGCGTAGAGAGCTGTCAAAGTAGAAGTGTCGGAGGATACGTCCGCACAGAACAGGTTAAATAGAATAGGTGATAGTTTAGAGCCCTATGGGACACCGGCTGTGACGCTTTTGCTGGCAGTTTACTGGGGAGACAGATGACAGTGGCTTCTTTCCAGACCAGAGGGAAGTGGTGGAGCCGCATGATGGCGTTTGTGATGTTGCACAGTGCGATTATGTGCTTTGGCGGCAGGACTTTGAGGACTCTGTTTTGAATTCCATCAGCGCCAGGGCCTTTCCTCTTTTTCTGATAACGGATAGTAAGGGAGATTTCATGGGGTGTAGTGTGTCTGAAGTCAGAATTTAGGAGAACGAAGTTCTGAGATACGGCTTTGGTACGCTCGTGAAAGTCAACAAAGTCTGCTGGACTAGGTACTGGGAGGACTGAAGACTGATTGCAGCTTTTTCTTCGACTAAAGAATAGGTGGAGCCGTTCTGTTTTAGTGGCGGGAGATGGGGATCTCTGTTACGAAGAGAACGGATCACTTTCCAAGGGCTTCGGGGGTTTGTTTCACCCTGAGCGATATAATCATCGAAGGATACGCTGCAGAATTTAGTGAGACGAGTTTTTAGTTCTCTTTGAAGGGCGTTTACTTCTGCACGGTGTGCGGGGACACGGTGTCGTTATGTTGATTGGACGACCGACTTTAATGGGGGCTGGAAGGTGGTCCGAACTTAGTGCGTCAATGACGATAGGATTAGCGGAAAGTGTAAAATTTTTGGTGACGAAAATCTCAAGGATGTCAGGGAATTGATTGTGGGGGGCAGGGAGAAACGTGGGGTCATCGGGTGCTTCAACTGTGAGGTTGAAGTGAAGAATTTTGGCAAGAAGTGAGTTGCCTTTAATATTTGTTTGTCGACAGCCCCAAGAGACGTGTTTAGCGTTGAAGTCACCTGCAACGATGGTCGGAGCGCCTGGGGGGAGTAGAGGGGGGAGTTCAAAAAGGTCTCTGTCCGAAGGGGGAGAGTAGAGAGAAATAATCCTAAGAGGGCCGGTGGCTAACGAGATTTCGATGCCTATCGTTTCCAATGAGTTTGTGGCCAAAGAGATAGGCCTGTGCTTTCAAGAATTCCTAATTAGAATGGCGATCACGGTCCCTTCTGTAGGATGAGAAGTTTGGGACGAAAAGTTTGATTTTTTCGGGCAGGTGAGTTTCGGTTATGCAAATAATACCGATTGACTTATCCTCGAGGAAGTGCTCGAGTTCAGTCAATTTACCTCTAATGCTTTGCGCATTCCAGGTAACTATGCGAAGATTGTCTGGGTGGGCTGTATTACACATTGGTGGGTGTTTGTAGGACGGTGACCAGACTTGCTACCATCATTTGAACGATGGCCTGGATCCTCTGTTCAAGAGAAGAAGCTGCAGGGATTGGCGTAAGATTTTTGGGGGAGATACCTTCCGGGGATGAATGTTGGACGGGACGCTAGTTGCACGGACTTTTGTGTGTTGAGGATACTACAGATTTTTTTCCTCTTTGGAATCTTGGGGCAGCCGCGGTATGTGGTGCGGTGACTTCCTTTGCAATTAGCGCAGGAAGGAGTAGCATCTTTCTTGTCCTTTGTAGTGATATGGTTGCTGAAGGAATGGAAAGGTGTGGGAATTCATATGATTTGGAGGAGTGGGATGTGAGTAGGGTGAAAATATTTTCAGAAGGAGGAAGATGAGTGTTGGGAAAGCGAAGATCTCTTGAGTTGTTAATATAAAAGAAGAAATATATTGTGTAGTCATTAGTGGTGTAAGCAGTATGGGATCGTGCTTCGAGAACCGTTCATTAAAATTATTTAGTGGTAGAGGAGTCAGTGTGTACCTACGCGTTCTAGGGAAAAAGGCAGGTGTTAAACGTGTAGGTGATATCACGTCTCCAAACCGCATTCTGATGGTGGTTGAGCGGCGAAGAACTTGTTCTGTAGGAGGAAGCGGGATAAGAGGGGAGAAATTGGTAAGCGAAGAACGTTGTGTCTCTGGCGTTGTCTCATTATTTATGGTTGTCTCATTCTGTTGTTATGTGCAGTGGACGCAGAAATTCGGATGGATGTTTGGTAAGAATGAGAAGAAGCCGACGGGGCGAAGTCCCGTTTTAGGAAATTTAGGACGGGTGCTGTAAGTAGAATGAAATATTTACTGAGATTTCTTGTATTAATGGTGTAATGTTTATAACAATTATGTTTTTGTTTACAGTATGATTTAATTGGAGTCGTAACGACGATGGCGTTATTCGTTGCTACAACCTCCACGACGGTGGCAACGGGTAGGAAGAAGCTGGGGATGATGTTTATTTCTGGTGACATGGAGACGGGAAGACTCGTTGGTGATTACGTCAGCAATATTTATTAATTTATTTTTCTGCAAAATTTCGTAGGTTCTGATTTGAACAAATATTATATTCAGGTATTCCCCAAAATAATACATATCAATAATACTAAAATTCTGTTTACGTGGGTAATACATGAACGGCCTCTAAAAGTCGAGTCTCTTGTGTGCAAAGGAAAGTTTGTGTTCTTTTCCATATGATACAAACTTTATAAATTACAACAGAATAATTAATTTCAATTAAAAATGTGAACAAACGTAAAATTAAGCATGTTCATTTCGAGAGGTCTGATATCACTTCATTTACATACATAATTCAGAATCGCAAGATTTTAAGCATCCATTTAGGACCTGAGAATCTAAGAATTAACAAAGGATTGTAAAGATTTCGGCTCTTCAAACAGATTATATCCTGATCGTTAGTGTTTTATTGTCGCTAAGAGCATATAAGTACCTATTCTTTTCATGCCTTTGCTAAACTTTCAAAAACTCCTGCATCATGACATTTATGATTCAATATAATGGAGTGCTAAATGTAAATAGAATATAAAAAAGTATTTTGGCGAAATCCATCAGACGATTCGTGTTTCTGTTTTTGTACGAATGTTATGATTTCAACTTTTATAATTGTAGGTACCTATTATACGACTTGAACTATAATAACGGCTTTTGTACCTATCATAAAGTGAACCGTTAATGTTCGACACTTCGACTTTCAGCTTTTGTTATTTATATTGTCTATGAAGAAATGTCGTTTCTACAGTTAGATACAGAACAGTTCTTGTTTACAGATTTTTATCAACACAAAAATTGCGAACCAAGACGGTAACGTCTTGCTATGAGGTACGAATTATTAAAAACTGGTAAGAATCCCAAGAAATCACATCTAATATTACTGGGGAGAGAACCTAATTCTATCTAATACTGAAAAAGCATTTCTGCCGCCTCTACATTTGTGCCGTCCGAGGCTCATGGCCCCATTGCATCCCCTTCCACGCTACGCCATTGTCTTGGTTTAAAAATTTCCGTTTGCTACTTCTAAAAAAAAGTAATAAAATGTTATAATAGTTTACGGTTTCAGAATAATCTGACAAAGTATCACCTTAATTTTTTAATTTATTTAATCTGGTACGAATTACACTCATGCCAAAAAACTTAAAATCATTAATTAATGAAATGTATATAAATTATTGTTACAATTAATTGAATGTCAATAAAAACACAATCTTAACTACATTAATGCGAGTTAACTTTTTTTGCAGAACTTTAGTATGCTTTAGTTCTGCTTATCATATGCCAACTGAAAACTGTATTTCTTTAATATTGAGGATATTCAAAAAACGCTCTAAATGAGAATGTAAGTACTTGTTTCATATTTTTGTGAAATTTTATCAAAATAATTCTAACCGATATTGTGATTCAAATTATTACCTTATTATCCTAAAATTATTTCGATTTGACATCTAATCGTATATGTCATACAAAACTAACTTTGCGAACTCATGATTTTGTTTGATTCAAATTATCCTGTAAGCTTCCCATTGCTGTCTAATTCACAAACAGTATTCTGTCCATTTTGTAATGATATTGTCAGGACTAAAATAAAACTAAAAGTTCCATCAAGAATTCCTAAGAAAATGTTCTTACTTTTCACCACAATTTGGTACAATTCCCTTGTTCTTTTATAACATTGTCTACATATGATCATTTCTTTCAGCACATGCCTTACTGCAAGTTGTATAAATGTTGATCATTTTTGTCCCCAATGCCATGAATATATTGGAACAAGTACAAAGTGAAGTAAATGATACTATTTCGTTAACAAGTATTTATTTATATATAACAATCATTATCCTTAAAATGATTAATACTTAAATTAGCAATTCAAAAAATAAAACAAGTTTGTCACAGCATGTATCTCAAATTTGTAAAATTACAACAATCAAATGTGGAATGCCTCATATTGTAACAAAAATAAAACGACTTAACATGCAGGCATATCAATCACTATATAATTAGTTAATTTAGTTCGTTTTTGTTAATTATTGCTTATCTTCTTGATAACGTCCTAAGCAACAAAAAATGAATGTTCCACTTGGGATAATCAACATCGACAGTATCCAGCATTTCTAACCGTTTTCACATGATGATGCCCATATCAAACAGTTCCCAACGCCACTATAGCATATCAGAAACACTGCAGCCAAAAAAACTAAACTACAAATAGTGCATGGTTTTCGTTCCAAAAAGAAACCAATTAAATACAGGACCATGAACATAACATGAGTTTGGACTAAAGCTGGGTTAACTGGTTTTGGTATTAATAACACAGGAATTAACCATTGTAGGCAGTACATTTTCTTTTAATTTCACTAGTTAACGTCTTTAATGGTAACTAAAAACTTCTAGTCAAAATTTTCATACATTTTACTTCTCAATTTCGTCAAACGTCAGACACAATCAGCCATTTTAATGTAGATTTTTTCTGCGAAACGATCAAAACACACGTCATTTTACATTTATAAATTCTTTCTTAACTTAATTATCATACGAACCGTAAAACATCACTATTTAATGATTAGATAGAAATAAGTTTTCTTTCATTAGCCATAATTTCGTCGTTAGAAATACATTCCATTATTCGAGGTTAGCTCCCATAGATAAGAAATATATAAATTTTATACTGAAAGGAGCAGACAATAAGTCAAAACGAACTTTGCCGAAATGTTAGTCGAGTCACAGTCTAATGGAAGTTACAAATACTTGGCTCTGTGATTAAATTTATAATGTTTACAATATACTTTAACAGGGTAGCCTGAAGGTCTGCCTGCTCTGATCCCAGTTTTTCTGTAGTTTCTATGGTTCACTCTGCTCCTGCTTATATTTAAAACTAGCTTTTCCCCGCGGCTTCGCTCGCAGAAATTAATATTGTTTCTCCATAAAACCTTTTAACTCCCAATTCACCCTTACAACGTTTTAATTTTATGTAATGTCGGCATCTTAGATTTCAAATGCAAACGTAGCAACATTTCATCTTTAAGGATTGATTTTTAAAATTGCCAAAACACGTTTTTGCTTAATTTCAACAATGAGCAACCTTCGAGTAAACCTGAGTACAAATAAAATATACCCCATTGAAACGTTGCAACCTCTTTTCATTTAATTAATACTATCAAACAGCATATATACCAAGTTTCAAGTAAATTCAACCACAAATAAAGTATGTCCCAAACAATTGCAACACCTTTTTACCCCCCCCCCCTGGAAGGTTGAATTTTTCAAAATATCCAGATAGGTCTTTCAGAAATTAAAAAATTGGTCTGAGCACACTTTGATCGGTGCTAATACGACTAACTTCCCATTAGATAATACAGTTATTGTAAAGTACATTCGTTTCTAAAGTTTGAAAAAAACGCGGCACAATAATAAATATAATATGTTATTATAATATGTTATTCCCTGTCTTGAATAATGATATTTCGTTATTATTGATTCCGTAACTTCATTGTTGTGATTAGATTAGAACGTATTTTAATTAAATTGTTTGTAATTAATTCGTTTTTTTTTTTATAAAAAAAAAACGGCTTGACCGATTTCGTTCAAATTTCTTTCAGATCTTCATTATGATAATATCTTTCGAAAAAATTTTGGTTGAGGGCGATATCTCAATCCGTTCTTGAGATATCGAAAACGAAAAAAATGCTGACATACGAACGTACGTACGTACGTACGTACGTACGTACATACACACATCATCAAAAAAATTGGCTAGCATGCTACTAATATGTTAAAACGTGGAAATATAATGAAAATTCCGATTTCACTTTTCGACCCAATTACAATAACTTCCTAATGGGAAGTTAATAAGATACCATTAAGACCAAGTTTCAAGTAAATCTGACCAAAAATAATATATGTTCTATTCAAACATTGCAACTCCTTTTCACCACTCATCCCCCCCCAACAGAGATTAGAAATTTTTTAACCAGATAGCATTAAAGCCAAGTTTCAGGTAAATTTGACTATAAGTAAAACACCATACTTAACCATAGACAACATTACGTTTAGCTATCAATTGCGTTTTGTCATTCCATGTCAGTTGCGTTTTCTTATACCGCTTTTTTCTTTTCCACGGGAACGGGATAAAAAGTATCCTATGTCCGTCTCCCGGTTGTAAGCTATCTCCCCACCAATTTTCAGCCAAATCGGTTCAGCCGTTCTTGAGTTATAAATTGTGTAACCAAAACGACTTTCTTGTATATATATAGATTATTTAAGTTACAAAAGCATCGAAATTCACCGAAAATTACAAATTTCAGTAAATACCTATAATTACACAAAAGTGTACAATTTACATACATAATAATGTGTTTCCATCGATGCATATGTGGGAGATATGTATTTAAACAATAGTTTCGTTTTTGAATTAATGTATTAAAAAGCTTAATATTAAGATTATGTTATTTTAATGGAAAAATATTACAACAATAAATAATTAACTGCCTACGAGTAGTTTACAATTAAAAGTAATTCTACATACTCTTAATGCATGAATTGTAATTACTAATAATTTACTCGTTCTTTTTAACACAATTATTTTCGTGGACGTTCCCATTCTTTTGACAATTTTTACTGGAATTGCAGGTGACGAATATGTTTGAAAACTCTGGGCATTCTTTTGCAAAAGAAACGAAATTATCTAAAACACAGAAACGAGCTATGATACTGCTACTAATTACATTTAAACATTTTTATTAACCTACCAAAAGTTATGTAGATGGCATTGTCTGGAACTATTTGTTTAAATATAAATTCCGATTGTTCTGAAGTCACTGCTAAAGTATGATTAAGAATAGTCACAAATTCGTGAAGAGAAATTTTACCTACTCCACTAGAATCATAAATCTGAAAACAAATGGTTAAATAAATCATTTTTGCATTTACAATAATAGATTTACCTTAAATCCTAACTGGATTATTTCTAATAAGCTCCTTTCTTTTGACGTCACAACCGTTCCTAGTAAATATTCCCTGAAGTCTATCACACCTGAAGCATTCTACAAAATAATATATTAAATAGTTTTAATGTACTCTTTGGCATATAAAGTTTTTACCTTATCATATAATTTAAATAACTGCATAACTAAGGGATCACTAGGAAAAACATTTAAGTAATTGGAAAATTCGGTAAGTGTCACTCTGCTGCAGTCTTTACAAATTAATTGAGAATTTATTATTTTTTCTTCAATATGAGCATCAATCAGTCTATAAAAAAGACAATCTGATTATATTGGCAAACACATAGAAACATTTCGTGTTACTGTAGTCTTTGTCTAATTTTTCTTATCTCAGCTATCGAGGAAGCACATGGAAGGTTCATCTCTTTGGCACGAGCCATTAAACGACAGTCGTCATATGTATAGTCAACTGTAGGCACACCGAGAGCTCTAAACAGTAAATAAAAAAAATATCTGTAAGTTCATACAAAGCAAATTTAAATTTACAATAGTGCATATTTTGGAGGCATTAGGGAGGGAATATAAAGATAGGAGACGAAACATTAGAAGAAGTGGCTGATTTTAGGTATCTAAGAAGTCAGATAAGTCAGAACGGAAGGAGTAGTAGGAATAAAAAGCAGAGGATAGCGCAGGGTCGAGTAGCCTTCAATTAAAAGAAATCACTTCTATGCTCGCGAACGGTTAATTTAGAAATTCAAAAAAGGTTGTGAAAGGTGTATGTTTGGAACACGGTGCTATACGGGTGCGAAACATGGACAGTGGGCGGCCGGAAAAGAAAAGGTTAGAAGCGTTCGAAATGTGGTGTTACAGACGAATGATGAGGATACCGTGGATAGAGGTTAGAAATGAAGAGATATTAGATAGAGTAGGACACCTTCTCAGGCACGAAGGTCTAGTCAGAGACATATCAGAGGCAGAAACGGGAGTTAGGAGGGGTAGAGGTAGACGTAGATTAGATTACTGTTCGCAAATAATTAAGGATATGGGTTGTTCTAGTTTTAGGGAAATGCGAAGATTACTTCAGGATAGGAAAAAGTAGAGGTACGTATCCAAGCAGTCTTAGGACTGTCGACCTTATGATGATGATGAGGAAGGGGGGGGGGGTTAAAATAGAAATTACCCATTATCAATTTTGAAATATTCATATTGCCTATAGCCAATTTAATAAATCAATTACAGTTACATCGCGATAATGTGAATCACGCATAGCAGAAACTCTGGATGTGACTTGCATATTAATTATGCTAGACATCCCTTAACCGTGAAGAAACTAATCTTTCAATTATGGAAACAAATGTCCATTAATATTAAATATCGATAAATCGCGGCTGCCATTGCGCCACTGCTGTAAAATCCGGATACTTCTACAATCCTATTAGTTAGAAAGATATTGCTTTATTCGGGCATTCTATTTAGTCAATTTTGTCAAAAACTGATATTTCATTTCTGTTTCATTTTGAAAATATTTACAAGATAAACTTTCAACATAATGTTTTAGTGCTAATTCAATTTGATAACGTCGTTTTCAGTCTATAATTATTTTCACTTTATTCAAAGAAAGTACGTTGTAAGTTGTAAAAAGTTGAAGTAAACTGCCAATTTCTATTTTCACATAATTAGGTAATTTAGAATGAGTAGTTATACTCAAAATTCAAAAAGGATTCGATTGATTTTGTTTATTTTTAACTATGACGCGAAATTAAAAAAAGCTTGTAATAATGTTAAAGTGTGTTGTGAACCAAAAGCTTTTATTATCAAAATATTTAAGAAAATATTTTCAAACCTCACTGTTCTACAACAATCCACTACCGAACTACCGAGATACCTACAACGTCTTAAAATATTACGCCCCGATTCCGTGACATCACAACAGCTTCGTCTAGCCAAAAAAAAACTTGGGTGTTTCATTCCCACCAGCCATGAATGCTGGTGGGCGGGCAGTCCCTCCGGACTGCGCCGGAAGGTAGGGCGGAAGGCCCTCTTCAGCCTGCTTTCAGGAATCGTGGGAATGGGTGGGTGGTGGTTCGGGTGAGAAAGATGAGACGGACGAAATGAAGACAGAAGAGAATGAAAGATTATCTGTGAAATATTACTGCCTCAGCATTGGCCTAAGTGATCCAAGGAAACCACAGAAAATTTGGACCAAGGCAGACGGACCCGGAATCGAACCGGCGTCCTCCCGAATGCTAAGCAATGGTCTAGACCTCTAGGCCATGCCGCTCGTCTAGCCAGACACAAGCTGTCATATAGAAAATTTTAAGAGAGTTACAGCTTGCGTAACAATGTTTAAATTCGAATCTAAGCAGGAAAAAATCATACTGTGAACAAAGTGAAAAAATGCACTCTTTAAATTGGTGTACCTAAATGTTCGAACTGCAAAAAACAAAACAATTTTAAACAAAAAATGACGACATCATTTTTTGGATTAATAGCTGAACTAATATCGGAAACAATGGAATTATAATTCTAGCATGTGCTGTTAAATCAGCTGCTGGAAAAATTTCTAGAAGAAAATGATGAAAACACGACGTTTAAAGAGCATGAAGATAATTAATTTATTTTGTGTTCCGATTTGCACTAAACATATATTAAATTTAATGCACGGTTTCTCGGACCTCGTTAGCTTCTGTGACGTCATGCGCTCACGCGCAATATGCTGGTTTAACCGTTATTCTTAGATTAGTTTTTTGGGTTTAAGTTAATTTTTTTGGTTCACTTAGTTGCTGTGTAAACTTACTTTGCCATTACTCTTCGAACATTGTTTGCGTAAAGTTTCGGATCTCGTTTTTCTTCTTCGTTAGGTCTATAAACGGGTAAAAATTCAATTTCACAGTAGCTGTGAACTTGAGTAAGGGTGAGCCATAGAAGTTTTAAACTGAAATAGTAAAAGGTTTTGGTATAAGCACCTATTTTCCGTTAGTAGGTACTAAATCATTACTTACGCACTGGGGCCTTCCCACGTCCAAGTAACAGTATCCAGCTTGTTCGGATAACGAATACACACAGGCTGTACGGGAACGCCAGGATAAAAAGCACCTGGTTTAAATGTTATTAAACAAGACCTATTCGTACATGTTCCTTCAGGAAAAATTAAAATTTGAGGCCAGTCTAAATCTGATTTTGCCCTTTTAATTATTTCTTTTATGGTATTGTGACGGGAATCCGGATCATCTCTCCATACGTATATGGGTTGTGAAAAATTAATTAGTTCTTGAAAAGAAGAACAGTCCTATTATTATATCAACAATTTAAAATCTTTACTCAATAACCGAAGTCACCCACTGGCAGAAATTTATACCCTTAATGCAATGCTATTAAAATTGAAGGGTCCACAATGTTTGATTACGATGATCATCGAAGACAAACTACTGTGCACTATTTCGCGGATGTCATTCGAGTTTGCAGGATAACTTATGCAAAATCAAAAAATAAATAATTTTCGGTAAGTTAGTGTCAGAAATAGTTTGCTTTGCTCATACAGAGGCGCCATTTATGAGTCACTTATAGCAGTTTTGAGACTTTGAAAACGGTCTCTTGCGCACAGGCTCTGTTACTTTGTTTTTTAGCTTTGTACGGATAGCACATACTTCTATAAGTTGTTTGTACCGACTTAATAAAGCTACAACTACATATTAGAGGATTATATAATCACGTGTTATATTATTAGTAGTATAAACATCCTTTCTAATTTCCACATTTTAACACAGTCCTTCAGTTAGCCGCAAATTATCCGTGATGCTCAACATGTTGCTCCATTATTATTATTTTTTGTTGGTAGTCGAACGTCCTGTAACATGTTCTCAAGATAGCAGGGCAATTTTGCAAAAATACTAACCATAAGATTTACATGCAGAAATCAATTGTGGACGAAAAAAAAAAAATGCAAATTATGTATGGAGTGTAATTGTGAAATATAATTAATTATTTATTGAAAGAGACAGGAGACGGAGTAGGGTAGATGACAGAAGTTATAAGTAACAAAAAAAAAACTGTAATGTTTAAGGAAAATAGAAGTTTACTAAAATTTGGAATATAATGCAACTTCTTATAAAGGCTGAAGGGAAATGTAATAAAAGATTTACTACTGCTTCGGAATTCAACAATTTGGGGATAATTAGGCGTAAATTTATTTTGGACAACGATGTTGGTTGCGCTTGCCATCGTAATTTTACGTCAGCAGGACATAGAGGTATTAATAAAACCATTTTAGATTTTGGCAAGTTGTAATTCTTTTGTACTTTAAGTTACGATACTTGTAGTAAAGGTATGGCGATGCTAGGGCTAAGGATGGTCTGTCCATTCAATTCTAACCATCCTTCATTTCTTCGGCGCCTTTGGAGGTCATTCTTTAGTTGAAGGTCACTTTTAAACATTCCCTACAACCCCATAACATCAGCAACAGCGACGTCAACGATGGAAGTTGAAGAATGACCTCCAAAGGTGCCGAAGAACTGAAGGATGGTCAAAACTGGATGGACAGACCATCCTCAGTCCTAGCAGCGCCATGCCTTTACTACTGATACTTCTGTTAGTACTTTGAGAACGTAGTAGCAAGACATTTGATTGCAAAAACAGTAATAATGCGGAAAAATGTTGAGTTTTGCCGATTATTTTTCGGTCAGTTTACGTCAAATTATAATTGAAGATTATTAGCAGCAAGCCGAATTTTTAATATGCTGTTTCTGGCAGCCTAATAGATATACTTCTCAACTGAAGAGGAATATCCATTATCATAATAAAATTTTTGAATGATTAATTTTGATTCCTACTGGTCGGAGGTAAATGGTCTAAAGGCAAGAAATATAGGATTTAAAATTTGTTGTATTTTCGTCACAGGCTTAACTCTCTGTTGTTCGTTTCCATAAAGATAGAGGGCGCCTAGCAACAAAAACATAGTTTTCTGCATTTTGGCCATGAAAAAATTTTAAATGCAAGAGTTTTAAAACCAAAATTTTCATCTTTCGAAAGTATTTGGTAGTGTGATAAAAATGTGCGTACCCCTAGTACTGCCTCTTAATTCTAAGAAGTTACTCGTAAATTCTCGAAAATACTTTCTTAGTGTTAGTTTTGGATTTTACTATTTTATTTATCGAACAAATTTTCTTTAATTTCTTATTAAATTGAACAATCGCCTTCTTTTACCTACTTTTATTTGCATATCAAATTTTCAGTCCCAGTAACTCAGGAACAGTTGGGATAAGTTATTAATAATATAATAGACTGGTTCGAGGTCTACAACTTTCAAATTTAAAGCTTTTGACGAATATATAACGTTATTGTGACAAAATGCAGAAAACCTGACGTTTTATAAATTTTGCTGCTTCTTTTTTAAGAACGAAGTTACTCTAAGTTTTTTGTTCCTGTCCTTTTTTTCCCCAATTGAAATAAAAATCAATTTAAAATCTTTTTAAGATAGAGAACCTTCCATATTAATTATTTTCAATGATTTCTAAACAACCCTTCGTAGACAGTAGTGCGCTCGCCATGTCTACGTTTATTTGGGTAGATAAAATGTGCCCGAAAAGCAGTAGAAAAAATTAACGAAATTTACAGTGTTTTGGGTAAAATTTTCCGCCAGTGGCTGAATTTATCTATTGAGTTCAACATATTTAAACATTAATTTTTCTAGATGCAAAACGACTATTTTGTCAAACGTAGGTACGTATCGAAATCAATAATATTCATGCAAAATACAACGTAAATAAGTGTATATCAAACACAATAAACAAAAACAATAATAAATATTCTACGCTACATTGTTAATTGGAGCACATATATGTTAATAAGATATAAATAATAAATGTAACATTAAAAAAAAAAAAAAAAAACAGATTAAAAATTAAGGTGAACTCGTACTAATCGCGAGTTATTTTTTAGTAATATTGGGACCAAGAAGTACCTACTGAATCAATGTTGAAACATCTTGTTTATTACTGTTTATAAACAAAGTTAACCTAGGTACGTCATCAACTTTTTTTAACTTCTACATGTCTCAAACTGTGGTAAATTTTTTTACTTACAATAATCTTAAAAAGTAATTAAATTTAAAGGTTTCAAAAATAGTCAAAAATAGCTAACTTTTTGTTCTGGAAAAACGATTGTAAATTTTTCGTGCAATTCAATACTGTGTTTAAAAAAGTTAAAATCCGTGTAATTAAAATTAATTGAAAATAAAATAAATAAATAAATTAAACTATAAAACTAAATAAAATAAAACATTTGTTGAACAATAAAATTTCAAAGTCAGCTTTCTTTCACTTAAAAGAAAGCATGAAATAGATTCGACAAGGTGACGTTGTTCAACTGTTTTCAATTATATCGTAACATTCTGCCTACATTATCATTTTGGGTACTTCTTACTAACTATTTCATTGCAAGGAGATAATTAAGAGTCAAAGGTCTGTAGGACAAACACACGAATATTGCACCATGACAAACTATGAAAACGCTCTCTTTCTAACTTTCATACATATTAAAAAATTAATTTCGAACAATGGGACTGAACGAGTGAATAACGAGTGCAGTAACACAACCTAAAATGACGATTCTATCAAAGCAAACTTGATTAAATGTAATTAATAAATAATTGAGACTACCTAACGGTAGTGTTTTTACTTCCATTGTTCTTAAACTATTAAAATGACATTATTCAAGAAATGCAGTTTTATAGGTTAAAAGATTTTATAAAAATGAGCCGGTCGCGCTGGCAACGAATCTAATGGCAGCGCACACAGAGGGGCTATGTAATAACAAGAATTTCATTTGATTAAATTACATAAAATATAATTAGAGAATCAGGGTCATTTGGAAGACAAGTCTCCGAAAGTACATTTTTGATGTAATATACATATTTGGTCCAAAATCACGTATAACCTTAAAAATCGATAAAAAACTGAAAAATTAATAAATTTCAATTTTTTTTATTATTTAATAAAACTCAGGTCACCGATGTACTAGGTTAAGTGAGCATTCTACCACTATGCTAGCACCACCTCTTGCACGACATTCGTACACTAAAAAGATATTTTTGCAAAATTCCGCTAGGTGCGCTACCGTTAGAATCGTTGGTGTTGCGACCACCTCGTTTATAAAAGACACGACAATGAAATCTCAATCGCCGTAATCGATCGTTTTTAAATATGTTTCCCCGCTAAAAAGGAAATAACATTTTTTTAAATGCAAAATTAAAACATACTTCCTATGTAAGAGTCATTTCCACTTTCCCTACGAACAATGCACGTAGGTAGCCCGGTTATGTACACAATTCCTCCATCTATGAAGGTAGAATGAGGGGCGCAAACTAGAACGGGGGCTTCGCTTCGGCTGGCCTGCTTTCCCTTAATAATAATCTCCATACCGGCAGCAGCGTACACAAATCTGCCTAGTGTACATAACAGCAACCGTATCGTCCTAATATTGAACACAGGGCTACGTTATAATCTTTTTTTTAATGTATATACTAGCATTCTTCCGTAATTTTAGGTAGCGTAAAATAACCCAAAGCCAAGTAAAATTAGAGTTAGTTCGAGAAATATAAAGAACTTTATTTTTTTAGAAGCCATTTTTTTTTTGCTAAACACTGTAGATTCGATTTCGTAACAAAAAGTAATTACGTCTAAACCCATTGTATTAGAAGCCTTTTGTTTTTAAATTAACTGAAAGAAACCGTAGAAAAAAGATAATAGCTGTCATATATAAATTCTATTGTACAAATTAGTTTTGGATTTAACGATTTTAAAATATACTGCTGTTATCTGCCAAATATTACACGTTAAATTGAAACAAAAAAAAATACATAATTAAAACAATATAGGTCTTAATAAAGGCAAAAAGCTCCATTAACGAAATACAAACTTAGTAAAAACACAACAAGCAATATATACATACATGCGCGTATTAAGTTATTTTCTAATTTTAAAAACATGTAGGGTCCCCAACAATATTTGTTAGTACGTACATACTTGGAAGAATGAGGTATTTTAATAGTTTAATTTCTCAATCTTTGGGTCGCGCTAAATTGTTAATTGGTCGCAAAATAAATGGTAAGAAATCGTTATAAAAAATAAAAGAGTTCCTGGAAAACACCAAATGGTTTAAATTTTACATGAAAAACGATATAAAGTGCTTGTAATTGTCTATTATTTTTTAATGGAACCAATTTTAATCAAAAAAGCACAAAACATTACAGTTAACGTGTTCTTTTTTGTAATAACTAATACCAGTAATAAATTGTAACAAATTTTATTAAAGACAAAGTGCATCCAGGAACTTACTTAGCGGTGAGTAGAATGTCACCTCTAATTTTTTATTCATTTTTGATTGAAAATATAAAATAAATTAAATTATAACAATTACTTTCAGAAAACTGCAGAGGTGTAGATTTACCAATTTAAAAGTGGTTGGGGGTAAATAGTTGGTCTACTTTTGTTAAAGGCAGGCCAATATAATTGGCGTTTATATTTTATAAATTATATTTTTTAATAAATCTGAATTTCACTCATATGGGATAGCTGTACGGGTGCAAAACATAGACGGTAGGCGCGGCGGAAAAGAAAAGGTTAGAAGCGTTCGAAATGTGGTGTTACAGGCGAATGATGAGGATACCGTAGATAGAAGAAGTTAGAAATGAAGAGGTATTAGAAAGAGTAGAAGAACGGAGGACTCTACGGAAGTCAATAAGAAATAGGCGAGATAGGTTAGTAGGACACCTTCTCAGGCATGAAGGTCTAGTCAGAGACGTGTATTAGAGGTAGAAACAACAGTTAAGAGGAGTAGAGGTAGCCCTAGATTGGATTACTGTTCAAAAATAGTTAAGGATGTGGGATGTTCTAGTTTTAGGGAAATGCGAATATAAGCTCAGGATAGGAAAGAGTGGAGGTGCATGTCCAACCAGTCTTAGGACTGACGTCCTTATGATAATGATGGTATGGTTGGTGGAGGGAGAACGGTAAATGCTTTACTTGTTCCCCATTGACTAATGCACTTGATCTAAAATACGCAATAGGCTAATGATTTAAAAATAAAGCTGTAACGAAAAACTAAGGATAGAAAAGGCGCCAAAAGCCTGGCTCCGAATGGATGCAAAACACAGTAGAAGCGTTTGAAATGTGGTGTTATAGGAGGATGCTAAAAATACCGTGGATGGAAAAGGTTGGAAATGAGGAAGTATTAAAAGGAGTAGGACATTAGAGGGCATTATGGAAGTCAATAAGAAAAAAGACAAAATTAGACCTAGATTAGAATTGGACTACTGCTCGCAAATAGAGCTGTAAATTGCTCAACTTTTCAAGAAATGCAAATATTAGCTCATGATATGAAGTGGAAGTGCGTGTCAGTTCAACGCACTGTTGGACTACTCTGTGTACCTTAAATAAAATTCTCAATAATTTATTTGTATTTTTTTTATGCAATTACTACAGAATTCGTATCCTAATTGAAAAAAAAAGGTTAAATTAAAAAAAAAACTATTTTTAGGTATTGTCTGAGATGTACTCTAACTCTAACTCTGTTAAAAAATGTTGAATAGCGCACCAAAAAGATTGAGAAATGATATTCTAGATCTAGAGTGTTAAAGCATGAAATTTACATATTACTAAAAGAAATCTAATTCCAGTATTTTTAAAATTTTAATAATCAAATGAGAATAAAGTTACTAACTCGAAATCGTTTGAATAAGTCTCCAGACAACCATTTAATAAATATAAAAATGTACAAAAAAAAAGCCTATTTGTTTTGGATAGTTAAAAGAAATCAACTAGTAGATTAATTAATTTATTAAATATTTTAAATGAAAAAATAAAGTATTCAAAATAATAGAGTTCACTAGCTCAGTCTATACTCCAGGTAGAGAATTAGTATAGTAACTACTCGTATGTGACATTCAATAATATATTGCCAATAAGAGAACAATAAAATCTCGTTTTTTATAAAAATTGAAAAATCCGGAGATAATTTTTTATAAACTGGAGTTCGGAGAAAACATTTTTTTCTGGAGCCTCCGAACTAAAATTGAAGAGTTAAACCCTAAATGAGAATTACGAAAAACGCATGTTAACATTTTATAGTGGATACTTCTCTGAACTGACTAAATTTTATACAAAATGTACATAATTTAATTAAGTCAGTCTACAAAAGTACTATTGACTAAGAAAGGATTAAGTTCTTGATTATTAATTTATCGAAAATAATAAACGCAGATCGTGATTTCGATCTTATTTGATCTCATCAGCACGACATAGGCAGTCTCGATAAATTACTGATAAAACTGAACAATAGGTTTTTATCAATCTGGTTTTTCGTATATATATATATTTGTAAGCTGCATTATGGATTCTGAGCGACTTGGTTCGCTTCCGGATCCGTCTGTCCTAGTCCAAGTTTTTCTGTGATTTAATTAAATCATTTAGGATTAGGCAAACGCTGGGGCCGTGTTATTCTACAAATAATATTTCACTCTCCTCCGTTTTAATTTCCTCCGTCCCATCATTCTCACCCCAACACATTTCTCCCATTCCTCCAAGGAGACTGAAAAGGGTTTTCTGCTCTATCATCCGTCGTAATCCGGAGGGACTACCCACCCATCAGAATTAGTAACTGATGGGAATGAAACAACCAAGTTTTGTTCTTTTTTTTAATAGACAAGTAAATACCATAGTAAGGCCTTCGTATAACGTTTGAAGAACTTCAGTTAACAGCGAATTTCGGTAGATGGCGACATACCTATGTGGCACATCTTTGGTTTGGTCTGTGATGTATGGAGACTGTCTCTGGCGTGCTAATGAGGTCATATAAAATCAATTCACGTCTGCTAGTTTCGATAAATTATTGACCATGAACTTAATCCGTTCTTATTGTTTTGGTTTGCGTACCTTTCACGTGTATAAGCTGCGTCATTGATATGCCTTAATAAGACGTCTGTCTAACAATTCATTCGATGTACTATTTACTGCCGATTAAAATTCTTTTAATAATATGATCAACTCATATCTAAGTTAAGATGCAACTACTTCAATTGTTAAAGAATGGAAGATCCTATTCTTATATACGTGCTTTTATCTATACACCTATAGCATGACATAATACTCACAAACACCCGACTATTTGCAAAACAACTACTATTGAGAAGCATATTTACAAAAAAAAACGTACTCCCAAAAATTGGTATACAACTTGTTTCCCCCTTGGCCACAATAGAAGGAGCGTCCATGTACACCATAACAATGGAGTCCATGAACGAAGAATGAGGTGCTAAAACAACAATGGGCGCTTCCGAAGCCTGGCATCTGTTCCCGCGAACTTTCAAATTAATACCTCCAGCTTTGTACACGCAGTAAATTAAACGACAAGCGAACTTGCGCACTGAACTGCCCAAACCACAAAAAAAATGTTACATTGTTAGTGAACATTGTGTTCAAATTGTTGTCAAAGTGGACGTTACATAGTTTACATACATATTTATTTTTGACATTATCCATATTGTTTAATTTTTTCTTGTTATTTCTTTACATACATTACAATCTATCGCCTGTTTTAAGACTTTTGAAATAATACCAATTTATATACAATACATAAATATATATTTACAAACAATTAAAAAATTTGGGTAAAGATATGGACAGATTTTGTCAAATCTCCTTTTTGAGTTTGTTCTCTTTTCGTAGTCTCCATGCGTAAGCATAAGACTGACTCGTGCCCAACTTCACGTGTATCAAAATCTACCCATTTCTGAACTTGTTGCACAATATACCTACTGTTTTTGAATAAGGAAAACCGCAATCAAATATAACTTTTGATATTAAAAGAAGTATGCAATTCATCAACGATACTAAAAAAATGGGCAATTTTTTACATTAGTTGACATTCGAATTGAGAGATGAAGTTTAGTCAGGTAGGTAGTACTCACCAATTAAAGTAGTATGGTAGTATTTATTAGAATTTTGTTTATTATTTATTTAGAAATTAATGTGACTGATATACAGGCTCTTAAAATTTTGTTTATTGAAGAAAATTCAGGTAGGTACGGCCTAGTTTTGCCTTTCGTCAGCTGTTCCCGCCAAACAATTTTTATCCTAAAAGATATAGTCCCTCGTGGTGGGGTGGGGGGATCGAAAGAGGAGGTCTCTCCCACCACTGTACCATAAAAAGTTCGTGGCAGTCTCAAAGTTAATAAATATGCCAATTTTTATACATTTCTAGGCATGTAAATATTTATATAGTCATTCTTAAACAATATTCAAAGGTAAAACTAATGGGAAAAATACATAAAAATATTATTTAAATATCTTTATCAATAGGGTAGGTTAGGTTAGGTTATCGGGTTTTGTTCAAGTGACCACCCTCTTTCGATCCCCCACCTCCACCCGCTTGAAAATGTTTTTTTTATTGAATTTTATTTGAATTATAGTGTATGAAAATTGTCAAAATAATCAATTTTCAAACCCCATAACTTTTTATGGGGGTGAGACCGCCGCAAATTTTTTATGGGGTTTTACTCAGGTGACCACCCTCTTTCGNATATCTTTATCAATAGGGTAGGTTAGGTTAGGTTAGGTTATCGGGTTTTGTTCAAGTGACCACCCTCTTTCGATCCCCCACCTCCACCCGCTTGAAAATATTTTTTTTAATGAATTTTATTTGAATTATAATGTATGAAAATTGTCAAAATAATCAATTTTCAACCTCCATAACTTCTTATGGGGGTGAGACCGCCGCAATTTTTTTATGGGGTTTTACTCAGGTGACCACCCTCATTCGATCTCCCCCACCCCCACCCCCGAAAGGCCATCATCTAGACCTTTACCCAGCTGACAAAGGGCTGCAGCCAGGACCGTACCAACCGGAATTTCCTCCATTTAAGAAAAGTTTAGGAGCCTGTATCTCAAGCCGCGTTGGTTTCCGCATGGAATTAATACTACCAAACGATTCTACTTGGTATGTACTACTTACCTGACTTAACTTCATGTCTCAACTCGTCTATCAACTATCAAGTAACCGAATTTGAGTTTACTATTTACAATTAACAGTCCCTTTAGATGAACCCAGTGCCAGCTTTAAGTGAAGCAAGGTTCAAGTCTAAAATTTAAAGAGAGCCCCTACACAACATTGTATATTCTCTCGAAGATAGTTTGAAGCAAAAAATTCGTATTTCAATAATTTGTCATCCTTAAAGACGGCACTGTATGTACTTATAACGTTAATCAAACAAAATTCAATATAAGAAATTATATAAATATATACAACCTTCTCCATCCTGTAAGCGGCTTCTCTCTTAAATCCTCCTCCGCTAAACCCCATAATCCGACGCTAGCTAATAACCAGCCAGTTATTAGCAACAAACAAATTATTGTTATTCTAACGGGTAATAGAATTACTGTGAAAAATGCAGTCTGAAAAAATAAATCATAAATTTATTATTTACATTCTGATTAACACATTAATACTTTAATGTATTTTACGTTAATAAATAATCGTTGATTATGCATAAATTATTTATATACGATACAAAAATAAAAAAAATGGAAATTATTTCTTTCTTTTCGACGTTTCAACGATTTTCAACAAAATTTCGATGTTTTAAATATATGTATTTAAATACCAAAACAATAAAAATTAATGCCACAATGGTCATATGATATGGTATATATGGCCACAAAATAAATTCTGAAAATATGATAAAGTGTATAGATAGATAACCCTACCCTCACAATCGATTCGGAAGTTTTTTTAATTAAATTGCACTCTTAGGAATGCGAGTGCAAGAAATAACTGTTGATTTTTTGTAATTAACAAATTATCACACCATAAATGTAAACAGGTAAGCAGGGCTATAATTTTTTTCAAAAATAGGATATAGTTAGGTAGGTAAACTTAATTTGATGACTTAAGATACAATTATATATTTTGCTACTACCACAAAAAGCGGTTAATACGAGGGTGGATTGATAAGTTTCCGGCCTGACCAAGAAAAACAAGGTTTTTAAAAATTTTTTTTTTTTATTTCTCAACATAATCTCCTCCAAGGCTGATACATTTCTCATAGCGGTGTTCCAGTCTATTAATGCCATCTCTATAGACTGATTCGTCAAGCTCCTCAAAATAACCATTTACAGCTTCGATTACTTCTTCATTGTCCGCAAATCTCTTACCGCCAAGCCATTTTTTGAGATTAGGGAACAGAAAATAGTCACTCGGGGCTAGGTCTGGAGAGTAAGGAGGGTGCGGCATCAATTCAAACTTTAGATCGTTGATTTTAGCCGTCGCAACGATTGACGTGTGCGCTGGTGCGTTATCGTGATGAAACAAGATTTTTTTCTTCGCCAGATGAGGTCGTTTAATTTTCACCTCGTGGCTCAAACGTTGCAATAAGTCTGCGTAGTATTGACCAGTGATAGTATTACCCTTTGCAAGGTAATCAATGTATATAATACCTCTTGCATCCCAAAAAACAGTAGCCATAACCTTGTTCGCCGAAAAAATTGTTTTTGCCTTCTTTGGAGTTGGTTCCCCTGGTCCAATCCACTGTTTAGACTGTTCTTTGGTTTCAGGAGTGTAGTGGTGGACCCACGTTTCGTCAACGGTTACGAATCGACGCAAAAATTCGCTTGGATTACGCTTATACAATGACAAATTTGCGGTAGAAATGTTTTTTCGAATCAATTTTTGGTCGACTGTTAGCAAACGCGGCACCCATCTTGCACAGAGCTTTTCCATATGCAAATGTTGGTGCAAAATATGTTGCACACGTTCATATGACATCTTACAGGTCTCAGCTATCTCACGCACTTTCAATCTGCGGTCTCCCAGCACTATTTGATGAATTTTTTCGATCATATCTGGAGTTGTGACCTCAACGGGGCGTCCTGAGCGAGGCCCATCAGAGGTGCTCACACGACCCTTTTTAAACTCGGAAACCCACTGCTTAACGGTTGAATATGACGGGGAGGATGTCCCCAGTGTTGAGTCCATCTCTTTTTTAATTTCCTTCGGCGTTAACCCCTTCAAATAAAAGTATTTGATGACAGCACGATTTTCCTGCTTTTCCATTTTTACGAAAACCACAGAGGCGTCTTGTTCAGCGTGCTGTCAAACCTACACTAGCAAGGAGATCGGGCTGAAACTATAGCTACAAGCTATCCAAGGATGGTACTATAGAATGTCACCTCAAGGTAGGCCTAGTGGCGTCATCTCTTGGTTAGGCCGGAAACTTATCAATCCACCCTCGTAGATCAAAACACATTTTGATTTTTCAAATAATACAGTACCTATATCAATACCTATACATATGTTTTATTGCACAAGAATGCCACTAAACATTTATTATTCAAATCCAACACAATTTCCTTTCTGACCTAAAAAGTTTACTTTCGCATTTTCACACTCGCAAGTAGGTACCTACCTACTTACATATTTATGCACAGAAATTAAAACACTGATGATACTTGTAAATAACAAATATAGAAAGTACCTAGAAATGGCAACTCTTATACACTAAAAAAAAGAAAGTAGAATATACATAGATACCTATTATACATCTTCTACATATAGTTAATAGCCAACGGGACTTGATAATCAAAATGTAGGTAAGTAGCTATTATTTAAAAATCAAACAGAAATTTAATTATCAAAATTATACACAATAGGTAAACAGCATAAATTACTAATAAGTAGAGTAGTAGGTAGGTACATTGCTTCCTTTTGTTTTGGGTAAAAAATAAGATCGTGGGTTAATTAACTGTACTATTTCAAATATTCGCGTTTCGCAAAAAATGATTACAAAAAAAGTACGGAGCATTCCATTGACATAGTCCACTGACCCAGATTTTGAAATAGCAAGTTCATGATCACTCCATTCGCCGACAATATCTTGAATATTTTATAAAATAAATGTTACTGTTATTTTGTTATACTAATAAATCTTTTACTACCACAATTCAAATGCCTATAAGTAGATGCACAAATTCATTTAATAAACGATTAAGTACTTATAGTTTATGTGATACAAAAATATTCATTAATATGAGATATTTATACACATATACAATATAGTACTTGGTTCAAGTTCAAATATGATTAGTAAAGAAGTAAGGATAATTTTAAAAATATCTAGATGCCAAAAACACTGCCCTGGAGTAATCATTGTTGCTTACGTTAGCAGTTATTATAAATTAATTTTTGTTTGTAAATGTGTTTGATCATAAAAAGTTAGGTAGCTTTTTTTTGCTAAATATTTAATTCTAAATTAAAATTTCTACTCGTACATTTTCAAACTTACTTTAAGCTTTTCGTAGGTTGATTCTAATTCTAAATGATGGACGAAGGGGTTGAGAATAACCTCGGGGTTGCTCATTACTGATTTTTCCATTTTAAATCACTCTTAGTAAAAACTTGTTTCTTCTTTGGAAAACATTTTAAATAGTTCATTCACAAAATATTTAAAACATGCTAATAACTTCTCGTGTTCGCATATACTACAAACTGGAAGAGACCAACGAAAATTACGCATAAACTACATTAACGTTTATCGCGCACTTACTGGCTTTTACCGAAACTCCAAAACATACGATTTTGACAAGAGCCTAGCCATCACACCCAGAGGAGTCTCGAATATGACCGAATGCCGAATATTAAAATAGTAAAAAAAAGGGTATTTTCCAGCAATAAGTATAGAAAGGTAAAAAATATAGAACAACCATAAACTGACTTAATTCACCAAATAAAATTTGGCTGTACTGTTTATTTTATTTTTGCCGTTTTATATACTTTTTGAACTTCATTTGACGTTCGGCTGTATTCGTGACTTATCCGGGGGTAACAGCTAGGCCTTGTAAAATTTTGCCGATCAATACAAATAGTGACCCCACCAAATTCATCACATACAAACAGCTAATCGTAAGTATATGTATAAAA